TTAAGGTCACAAGAATAAAGGAAATGATCACCAACTCTAGAAGCTCTTGATTCTTAGACTGTAGTTGTTATTTTATTTTCAATTGGATGTATTCTTTCAGGTTGATCCAACTCAAAATCTCACTTTCAATCTGACGCTGACAGATGACGAGCGCCAAGCTCGCTCTAAACTGAAACTTCCTTACATGTACCACGAAGAGAAGAGAAGTGAGGTCACAGTAAACCCTGTAGGTGAAGGAAAAGTGTTCTACCAACCTGACGAAGCAGATGACTTTGATGAAGATGATCCTGACGAAGATTTAAATATCTGACTTATTTGTATAAAAAAAAAAAGAAAAGAACAGAAAAACCTATGTGTACAGTCTTAATGAAAAATTTACTTGCTACAGCGTAGCCTGCAGTTTATATCTCAGGGGGCATGTATTTGCCAGCATAAAAATTTTTTAATTAAGTCTTCATCTAGTCTACATGTATCTGAATCAAAGTAAAATTTTTCTCTCTCTTCAAACATCAATGTTAGTGCATATCTGTTTCCACTTTGTCTATTTTGGTGCAATTTTTAATGAATCTTTCTACATTATCTATTAATTACATCAGTTCTAGAGCCACCTGTAATAAGTTCATGTTTTTAACCCCCTGAACTCCTACTAATGATCAAGACAAAATTTCTCCTTACGATGACAATGTAATATCGAGCCTACAAGTGATGGGAATATAGAAAAATATAATTTAGGGGATTATTAGTTGACCCAATACCAAATTCTCACAACCAACCTCACAAGAATTTTACAGCAGACAGTAAGGAGAATAACTAACCAGATCCTGGGAGTAAAAGGTTAAAAAAAATAATAATAACTTGGCAAAATGCTTGACAAAACCCACACAACATGTACTGTCCTATTACAAAGCTGTGACAAATTATAAAGGCTGATAGTTTGAATATATCAACAAAGTTGAAATGGTAAATTGGCCACCGTTACGATGATCAAAGCTGATGTTTCGAACATTAGACCTTCGTCGGAGCAAATAGGGGAATTGTGGGTTGTGTGTGCTTTTAAAGGCAGGAAAAGGAGCTATGTGATTGGTGGGAACATGGCAACAAGAAAAACAAATAAATTAGTGGAATGAAAAGCATTTGTTGATCCCTGTGGGATTTAGACTGCCGGTTTGAAAGATGAGCATTTGTTTAAGAGTTTTACGGCTTTCCATACAACATAAGTGTAAGGAAAGACTGCAGATTGCCATGTGTTGTTTAGAATGGTTAAGTAAATTAAAATGTCTAGTGACTGGTTTCGATGTGTCCTTGTCATTCCTCTCCACGTTGTGAAGGTGTTATTGGAATATGTTATCAGTATGTCTAATTACAGGGATGATGGACACACTGTCACTAAGTCTTCAAATTGGGTTGGTGATAGCCAATCATGTAAGAGAGGTTTCTTTCGAATTTGTGAAAACAATCTTTGCAGTAATGAACACTACTTAATTAAGCAATGGTGAAAATAAGGCCTGAAGAGATATCAGGCCTGTACAGTATTTGAAAAACTGGTTAATGATAGGCAGGGTTGGAAGGATTTTGTTGCTGCCCTATGTGCCACACAGGCATGATGGGCAGTAAATAAGTAATGTTATTAGATGGCTGTGTCTTGCAAGGACTGGGAACTACCGAATTCATGAATTTGATTGGTTTAAATCAATATTGAAAGTGGTCTAGATTTTCCCATCTGGACTGGTCTAGAAAAAAAAGGTGCAAAGAATGTGAAAAATTGGCATACAAAACACAGCCATATAATAAACATTTTATTAACCGAGCTAGGTTGGTCTGTATGGGAGAATCTTGACCTCGGTCGCTGGTCTAGACCTCACTGCATTCTGTCTAGACAGGCGACCTCAGTCAAGATCCTCCCATACAGATCTCCTGCTTGGTTAATAAGAACTAAGTATTTGAACCCATGACCTCTGCAATACAGCTGCATTGCTCTACCCACTGAGCTAACAAGCCAACTGAGGACCAGTCACGATAAAGCTGTGAAGTGATGAAACGATGACTGAGAGTATGTGAATATCACGTATGTGAACAGTGATACACATGTGAATTTCGTGTATTCACATTCGTCGAAGTTTGTTGCGGTTAAACTTGTGCATATCAAATGAGGTCATGGATGCATGCACAAATGAATGTAAGTGAAATAATGAAGAGATAATCAAACGAAATCTCATTTTAATTTTGAATTCCTTTTAGGAAATCTCCTACAGCCTAACAATAACAGACAGGTTAAGGTGACTAAAAATGATAAAAGTAGGAAAAATTTCTCGAGTACCGAAATACAAAGATAGTAAGTGGCAGAGGAAGCGTATTTCACTTCATGAATGTAGTCCAATTGACTTGGAGTTAGTGAATCGCCAATTCCAAGGAGATCTCTCAACTCACATTTACTTATAAACCTGAAGATATAGGGTAAGAAACTTTTCTGAAAAAATCCTTCAACTCCCACTGGGGATATTCCAAGCTGATCTGCTAACAGTCCCACATAGGCATCGTCGGGTCCAATTCGAGTGACCTGCCTCGATAACTCGAGCATCTTTGGAAGTAAACTCGCCGACAAAACGTACATAGAACCTTTACAAAACGTAGGATAGTAGTCTAACGAAAGTTCGTCCTTACTTACGTAATGACGATGCCTTCTATCTCGTACTACAATTCCCCTGTACAATACCCCACCGTACAAGGAATTTCGATCGCCTCGATTCAGCAACCATTTTATTAACTCAGGAATATCAACGTAAACATCGTTGTCAGTTTTAAGAATGTAATTGCATGTTATTTGCGTCGCCCACTTAAAAGCCACTAGAAGTTTTGTCGTGATGTTTCGATACCTGTCGATGTAATCAGCTATAAGAAGATCTCCATGTTGTTTGTGTTCTGCCATTATTTTTTCATTCACATCGCTACTCGACGATTTACCCATCATGAAAAGAATTTTCCATTTGTATTTTATGTGAGTTTTGTCACAATTTCCCCAAGTACGACGTATTGCATCCCTTCTTTTAGTCTTGTCGTCGGGAGAAGTTGAAACTATCACCAAAATGAAAAAGTCTTCGAAGTCAGTAACTTGTGGTGCTATCAAAGGAGACATGATGGCAAAATTGCTTTGATATTTTCTAAGATCTATTCGGTGGTGACTTGGCGGTACGAAGAGGCGTATGAATAAACATATCAAGGCTACTGTCCCTGCAAAGCATAGCCCAACTCGTATAACTCTCCGCAATCGCACTTGCTTCAACATCTCCGGCCTTCAAGAGATAGACATTTCTACCAACTTATTTGATAGTTTGGTCACGTGGTCTGTAATGTACCGTGGCCCAAATCTGTCACGGCAAAAGAAATAACCGGGCAGTAAAAGAAATAACCTCGTGGCAAAAGAAAAAACCTCTTGGCAAAAGAAATAATCGCAAGTCAAAAGAAAAAGACTCGCGGAAAAAGGAAGAACCTCACGGCAAAAGTAAAAACCTCTCGGCAAAGGAACTAATAATGTTCTCGCAGTATAAAAGAGAGCGTGAGGGCTGGGACGAGTTTTTTCAATTTTTAAAATTTTTAATTTTTTCCTTTTTGACTGAAAACTAGTGAGGGGCGCACTGCAACAGATCTTGTCAACTTTGTTTGATATCCGACCGGTTTCGTTTAATCAAACAGAAATCATCAGGGATATGGAAAAGATTTACAAATGACCTCCTTATATACGAGAAGTTTCAAGTACAAGTCACGTTAATTAAGCAATGTCTATCAGTTATTTTGGGGCTCACGATTTAACGCTAACTCGTCAAGATCCATTGCTGTGTGCCACTCACTAGTTTTTATTTAAAAAAAAAATTAAAATTTCAATAGCTGAAAAAGGAAAAAAAAATCGCCCTCGCCCCCACGCTCTCTTTTATGCTGTGAGGACATTGGTATTTCTTTAGCCCTGAGGTTATTTCTTTTGCCTTGAGGTTTATTATTTTGCCATGCGTCTTTTTCTCTTTGCCGTGAGGTTTTTCTTTTGCCGCGAAGTTATTTCTTTTTCCGTGGCTGTTGTGGGAAATGGCCATCCAGCAATCGTGCAAAAATAAAGTGCGAACACGTTGATTGATTAAACTTACTCACTCTTTGCATGTCCGTTGTGGTTGTTTGGCGACTTCTGCTGTTTTGGGCTTGCTTTGCTACCACTGTTATTGCTGTTATTTCGTTCCCTGCACCATTCCCGGTTTCCCTTTAACGCTTTTAAATTCTTAACGGTTCCTCGTGTAACGTAACACACGTCACACAACACGTGACGCTTTCATAAAATAATCTTTTGCTTTTCGCTCGAAACGTGAGCGTTCCATTTGTCGCGAAACAAAACCAAAGTTTACAGTTTTCGATAAAAAGTAGTTTCATTTTGAGCTCAAATTCGAGAATCGCCAAAGTGTTTTCTCTGTAATATATTTGCTTCCCTTATGTTCCCGTTTTTCATGTATTTTGGCTATCTTGAAAGATCGTGTGCTCAAACGGTTTGTTTTTCTAGGGGCTGTTCATAATCTCAGTTAGAATCCATTTCGATTGTCACCGATTTCTAAAATAGTTCAGTCATTTCAGTGGTGATTTATCCATGAATATTTCGGCGAGAGAAGAATGAATTTCGTCCATAAGATGTCGTCTGCGGCACATACATAAGCAACGATTTGAATTCTTGTTTACTTATGCCAAACCACGTGACCACATAAAAGGGTCTCTTGGAGGCTCTCGAGGGAACTAAAATGCAGGTGTCACTTGCCATCCCGTGGGGCCAACCCCCGGGTAACTGACATAATATTGACATAGTAAAACAGAAAATCTCGGAATTATATTACGTGTCCCTAAGAACCATGACCTAAACGTTGTTTTTACTCAAGTGTACAAACATTGGTATTCGTTCTCATTGCCTCTGTTTTCCACTCTTTCTGTATTTTTTTTTTAGGTATTGTGCTTGTAAGGAGTATAAGCTTTTCTTTTTAAAGTAATTGGATGGATTCGAAATTGAAAAACGGCTGCAAAAAAATTGAAAATAGATGATGTGTCCTTCCGACTCGTTTTGGAAGGAAGTGAGCAAACATTAGTCTTCGTTCCACTTGCCTCTCTATCTCACTATGCCGGTTACTGCTAACTGCATCGTTTATGTGTGGGGAGCAAATTATTTGCATTTTAAAGCGCTGATATGAGTTTAAAATTGGAAAATGGTTCTGAAGCAAAATGGGAAAATTCCGTGCAAATCGCTGACCATCGAAGTTCATGTCAGCTGTTATATAACCATGTAACACTTAAGTAATTATTCAACCTTACCGTCAGTACGTGCGTTATGATTGATTAATTTAATTTAGGGGGCCACATTTCACCATACGACCCGCTAAATTTGAATTAAAATCTTCCTTAATCTCTTTTTGAAGCGAAAGATATCAACCTCGTTCCCAGGGCTTTTCCCTTTCTGAATATTTTAGCGGGCGGTAAAATATTCAAAAAGGGAAAAGCCCTGGGAACGAGGTTGCAAAGATATAATAGATATATATTTTACTGACTTTGTTATATTGGTCAGTACTTTAAGTTACAGAACCTCTTACAAAAGCTGCGGCTTGTAAAGGTGGAGATTTACCATTTACAGCTGTTTCGTGATATTCTGTACGTAAAAGGGTAAAACTGCACGCGACAACCGTACCCCGAAAGGTTCTGTGGGTAATTTTCAGGTCACGGTTGTTTAACCTCAAGAATTCAGGGAAACTTCCAAGACTAGTCATGGCGAGCTTAAAGACTTTGCTTATTTGTTTGACCTATTGAAGTTAACTGATTACCTGATACCGAAATAACCTTTCGGAAGTGTAGCGTGCACTTTTGCCATTTTATTCCGATATCCTTTCTTGAAACATTTGTATACGATAGGTTTGCATTTAACTATCCGAAGAAGTAAAGAAGGACAAAAACGTTCGCATGCTACCCATGAAACAGTTAAATCAGGCGCCACAGATATTGATACAATTTGCCACTTGAATTCTGTCAAATTGATAACCTACCTTGAATTTTATTTAAGTTTTTTTTTGTCAATATTTTATTTCTAAATGCGGATGCAAATCATTATTTTTTTTTTTTACTGCGATGATATCTGACCCCCCCCTGTGATAAAATTAAAAGTACGGAACCCTTCCATAACGCAATTTGTTACTACCGAAAGGAAACAAGTAAAAGGAAGCTCCATGATGAGAAAAAGTTGCAGTTGTCCGACAGAGCACTGTGTCCAACATAACAGGACCAGCAAGCCGCACAACGGCCAGAAAAGAACTATCCACAGTGAATGAATACCCAATTTTTGACAGTCAGTAGTCATGTGTGCAAGGAACAGTGTTGTGCCTCCCGGTTAGCTCAATAGATAGAGCGCTGGACTGTTGTGCGGGAGGT